CCTCAGACTCCTTTCTACCATTCTCATGGTGCATGCCAACTCTCTTGGCTTCCTGCTGTGCCTCCAACCCTCACGTTCCACCTCAGAGCCTTTATACTCTTCCTATCTCTGCCTGTAGTGCTCTCCCCCAGACAGTCTCCTCTATTCTGAGTGCACAGTTGGTAGCTTCTCAATGATGCCTCCCTACTCTTCCTGTTTGGTACTAAAACCTGTACCCCTCTGTCCCCAGCACTGCTGATCTACTAGTTCTATACAACCTTCGAGTTTCTTCCATAGCATTTATTACCTTCTCACATATTGTATAATTTCCTAACTTCATTACATGTAGTATTTATTTCCTTACTCTGAAACTTAGGGTGTAAGAGGGCATGAATTTTCATCTATTGTAATAGGCTCCAAAAAAAAAATGTTCTCCATTTTTCAACCTTCTCTGTATTAGTCTGCTACGTTAGTTTGCCATAACAAATTACCACAGACTGAGTGGCTTAAACAACAAACATTTATTTTCTCACAGCTCTGGAGGCTAAAAGTCCAAGATCAAGGTGCCTGCAGGTTTATTTTCTCCAGAGGCTTCTCTCTTTGAATTGCAGATGGCCAACTTCCTGCTGTGTCCTCAGATGGTCTATTCCTGCAGAGCAGACTGAGACTGCAGCAATGATCTAGCAAAACATGGCACAGCTCGTGACAGAGAGCCTGGCCTCAGCTATCTCCCATTCCTTTTTCACAGGCACACATAGGAAGGTATTTTTAAATTTGCAAAAGCTTATTTTAAAGGGAATAATAGATTAGAGTTGTGAATACTTTTGCTTAGGGCTCCAAATCCCTAGCAATAAATCCTTACCGATGAACTATAATCTCCATTAAAAGAGGTCATGGACATAAGCAAAACTCTAGTGCCTACCATGACATCTGGCAAAAGCAGACTATTAATAAATATTTGCAGAATGAATGATTAAATGAATCAAGGGTTACAAAGAAAGGTTGCAAACACTGAGAGACGCTCAAAAATATGCTGGTAGTATCAGAGAAAGGCAGATTCCTTTCTAAATCTCCATTCTCATTACTAGAAAGCAACCAATAATTTCTTTGATTTTTAAAGCATCCGTACAGATGCCCAACCAATATGCTGAACCATCAATTAAAATAAACTGTACAAAATGCCCACTCTGCAAAGTGTGCCTGCCTCTGGCACATGTTCCATTTCTACACTGGAATCACCAAAATAACTAATGTGGCTGTTCAGTTCTAGGGTCAGCAACTTGTTCTCTCAATTTCTAAATCCCAAGGCAAACAGCTTTCAGATGCTAGAATGAAGAAAGCTGAAAAGAAATTGTCAGTTCTTTTGTTGTCTTATTAAGTCTGGTGTATTCTATTTAATCACATCTTCCTCTTGGAGAAATCAACTATTCGAAGAAAAATACATTCCTAGTATCTGAATGCTGTCTTTCAATAACTAGCAAAGATCAAAGAGGGTGTATTTTCTAATCTTTGAACATTAACAATGTCCCTTGTACTGCAAAATGGAATTACTTAGGGCTGTTACGGAGACCCCTGTAGTTTTGAGCGTATAAATGAAATGTCTTAATACAGAATATGAAATTAATTGTAACATATTTAATATCCCTCAAATAAATTGAAAAGAACAAGATATTTGGAACTTGGATATTTATTTTAAACATTTTACCAAGTGCACAGGACCTTGTAATGTGTCTGTAATATTTAACAGAGATAAGATATCCTACCCAAGCTCAGCATTTTCTCCTCATGTTTGTAGTTTTTGTTATAAGAAAATTGGACAGTTTTATCACCAGGTGATATTTATTAAGCAGTGTCTGGGAAAGGGGAAAAGACAGTTTACTGCTGGATCAGCATGTGGCCTGCCAAGAAAATAAAAGGACACTCATAGTCAGTGATTTTAATCTGTTGGTCAGTGCCCTGATCAGGATGTCAGCTTTCTTTTAGGAAAATGCAGAGAAAAGGTTCAGAGTACACAGTACTAAAGGGTATAACTTCTGTTTTATGATTTGCAAAGGGTGGGACACTCATTGACTGGTGAATTTATTCTCTATGTTTGAAAGAGAGCACTTTGATTTATTACCCGATGAAGATCTTCTCATTTTTGTAATCGCCTTATCATTCCAAGAGGATTCCAGTGCATAGCTCATCTTTCCCTTCTTTCTGATGTCCCTTTACTTGTGCCTTTTAATCATAGGATACTTTGCCCGAGAATGCATTTTCAGAAAATTGAGATACACATTCTGTATGGATGAAGGCAACTGTGTCATCTACATTTTCCACGATTCAGCCATGCCCTTTGTTCTTGGACATGATAGAAAATCTGTTTTCACTCTCAATTGGAAAGCCAGCATGGGTTAGACCAGATGGCTGTTGACCTTCAGGCAATAGAGAATGGGAGAGATTCCCAACTGTTCTCATTACTCTGGGCAATGACTTCCTTTGGAGCAACAGCCTCAAGAAGCTGACACCTAGAAAACTTACTTTCTCCTTGAACACTAGACTCTCTGCTGGTTGTTTGTTGAGAAGCTCTAGGTTGCCTAATTGTCGTCGTGTCAATGCCTTGTGCCATTGTTATATGCATTACCCTTTATCCATTGAAGGCAAGCTGCTGGCATTGTAAAAGTCTTGATAAGTAAGTGAAGACATTTAAGTTTAGGTATCTGAGAATGTGATAATTTTTTTTTCCATTTTTATGGTCCTGTGCATGGATCATAGTAGACACTCAATATGTTTGTGGAGGGGGAAGGTGGGGAAGGGTGTTGAGAGTGTGTTTGGTTGATTGAATGCTTAAAAGATAAATGTTCTAAATGTATTATTTGTAAGACAGTTGCAGAAAATGTATTCATACAGAAACATAACACATTGCAAGCATTGTCTCACTTTCTTTTCCAATGGTGCTAGTGAATTTTGCTAGACCAAGAATTTAGAACTACGTAACTAGTGAGTACAAGAGATAGGACTTGATTAAGTTTCTCTGTCCAATTCTTATGCTCAAATGTTTAACTTACAATGTCCCTACTACTTCCTCTTTTGTTACCATGGGGAAATGACTAACTAGAGTTAAATTTACATCCCCAAATTGTGGAATAATGTCTCTGTAAAATTTCTTCAAAAGCCCAATCCTACTCATTTTTTTTTTTTTTTGAGACGGAGTCTCACTCTGTCGCCCAGGCTGGAGTTGCATACTTTAAAGAAATAAATGGCTACATGTGACTTTCATCAGTATACTGGCTACAAAGAATTGAAAGAACTGATGAATGCTAGACAGAGATTGGAATAAGAATATTTTTCTCTTCTATTTCTATCAGGTTGCCTTTTCGATCTGATCTGATCTGACATCTCCCCCCAGGACGTCTGAGTGTGCAGGGTTATCAGTCCTCTGTCTTGCTCCTATCATCTAGTCCAAGAAAAACTGGCATCTTGCTGGGCTGGGTCTCTAGCTCTCTGGCCTGCATATATTAAATGAATAAAACTGAAAGAATTAGGTCACTGGAGCGAGTGTATCCACTTATTGGGCCACAGATGAAGAGAAATCTCAAATGTGCCCTTCATTATAGAATGTATCTGAATCCAGTGTTATATCATATATTGGTTGAAATGCAGACAGAACAGCCCTTTTCACCCACACAGTCATACAAATATAGCTTCTTGGAAAACTTACATTCACACACAAGGTGGCAGTAAGTAGAATTTTTTTTAATGTTGATCTTAAAACAATCCATTTCCTTATACCTTAGTGCCATAATTCTGTCACCTGGATCAACAAAAGTAATGATTCTTCAGGAGGCAGAGCAAAATGAGATTAACCTTCCTGATGAAGAGAGAAAAAAAAATCCCACAATCCCAGGTCTCAGTGGACAGAGAGACTGACGGAGTATCTTGTGGCTCACTGGGCACATTTGTGCTGGTCCACTGGAGGGTAAGCTCCAAGTTAGAATGAGTAAAAATATCCATTTAGGTCTTATCCTTATTGTTAGCTCCTCCATAGCAAAACCTCTGCAGGAAGCAAACACCTTTCTTCCTTGTGCTGTGTCTTATTTCCCTGGCATTGCTCATCCGTCTGAGTATATCAGTTAACAAGTACTGATCAATTTAAAAAGGATTTTTGTTTATATAACTACACACTCAAAAGACAACCACTATATGTTTCAAAGTCCCCAGTTTTTTATCCTTAGAAAAGTGAAATTGGGCACAACGTTATTTACTGGGTACTTTTGAAAAGACCAGATAATAGCTCTTCAATATATCCGGCATTAAGCAGCATCAAAATGATGCATGAAAATAGTATCTGACAATGACTCGGTAAGTGTGTGTGTGTGTGTGTGTGTGTGTGTGTTCATGGTTATAGCATGTTAATGTATCTGCCTATAGTTTAGACTTCATTCACAAAATTGTTCTGATCTGCTTAGGGATATTTTTACTAGAATCTATATTTATTATTTGGCACAAACCTATTCATTTCATAGTCATCATTTTAAAACTAACACAATTGATATGAAACCATGTTGAATTTTGAAGGAAATTAACCAATCAATAATCAGATTTTTTTAAAAAACCCATTTTTGAAAAAGTGTGTATCTTGTTGCATTGCTAAGAAAACACCTCACAATACTTTTTTTCCTTTACTGAATAGCAAAGTTGTTTACAATGATGGCTTGCAGGGAAGACAAATACCCTCTTCCCTCTTCTGGCTATAATCCCATCAAAATTTCATTTGGCTAAGGGAAATAATAATAGATTTCAAGAGCCAACTCTTCCCTATTGGTTTTGGCTGCTTAGAATTTTGAGAAGAATTTTGAGGCTCCATCCAGACAAGGAGGAAAAGTGTTGTTATCAATTAGTGATGTTGTCTTTGAGAGCACAAGTAGGGAATTAAGTCACATATGCCATATAGTTGGCATCTGTGCTTTAAGGCTTTTCTTAAAGATAATCACTTTTATTGAGTTGAATCATTTGAAAAAAATAGTTGTATATAGTGAGTGATATAAGTGGTTTACATTTATTGAATATCACGTTTTAAAGATTTAAATTTTCTATACGGCACAAAATAGAAGACATGGCAGAAATTTCATCAGTTTAATAAGTAACTTTTGTATTGCCTTTTCCAGGTTACAGAGCACACTTTAAGACATAATCTCATATATGCTCCAACAAGCCTATGAATAAAGTATTGTATTTTCCCTATTTATATACGCTTGGTCTAAGACAGAAAAAAATGCAATATTTTATCCAAAATTACACCCAGGATAAAAATGCATGCCTCACAAAAGTAGCAGAGTAAAGTTGTTGAAAGCTCAAGGAATCTTAGGAGAGTTATATTCTCTAATCATAAAGGATCTAAAACAAGTCTGAGAGGATGCCTTTTGGACGTCCCAGTGAACGGTTGTTACATAATTGTTCTACTATATGATCCAACCAAATCAAACAGCTTATAGTTCCACAGTAAAATAAAACAACACAAAACTATAATTTTTGACAATCTGTCCCTTTGCTCTGAAATTTCCCCTCCCCACTTTTACTATCTGGCTAGCTTCTACATATAATTCAAGACAATTCAGGACTTTTGACTGCATTACTTCTTCTTTCCCACAACTGGAATCCATTTCATCTTCTATACATTGATCAACCAGGAATCTTCTACCACAACCTCACACCAGGAAGCTTTGATTTCTGCCCATCTTCTTAGCGTTCTCCTGGGAGGAAAAAATTGAGTTTTATATTTTGTTAGATTACCAGAACATCAATGGGCCATATGGAATCACCATGCTTTAAAATACCCAAAGATATGCTTGATGCAGTTTTCTTTATCTCTCTTGAAAATTCCCATTTTCTCACCTCCATGTGGTAAGTGGTACTTAGAAGGACCACTTCTAAGTTGCTACTGGGGGCCAAACAGGCAAGCTTTCTCATCCACTCCATGGAGGTGGATGGCTTATTAGATACAAAGATTTTGCTTTTCCCCTCACTCTTTCTCTGCTTCCAGAGATTGGCTCTAAAATTCAGAATATGGAGTCAAGAGAATGTCTTTACTTGGAGTCTTCACTTAAATCTTTAGGCACAAGAAACACTCCCTAATCCAAGTTTAGTGGAAACTCTTTATTAATATATTAGCTGAAAAAGTCACCTTGACACTTATTCCACTAGTGTGGCTTGTGGTAGTAATTCATGTAGGAAAGATTATTGACATGGAAGGCGGTGGTCATTCTGGATTCCCTGGCTATAATAGCATCCAATAACTACAAATCCCCAAGATCATAATACTCCTTAGATAGATTTCTATAATCGTATTTACCAATTAATTGGAATAAAGTAAAACTTGCAACTAAAAACTCACTAACTTACCACATCCTTTTTCTTCAGTTTTTCTTAACTTTTCAAGATGTTACTTGATTTGATTCATTTGGTTATTTGATGTAGTAATCTCCTTCATGTTACCCCATTAACACAATTTAAAGTCATATTGAAGTTTTTGAGCCAATTCACTGAAATGTATAAATATACTTCCCCTGTAATTTTGAGACAATGAGGGGATCATCACATGTTTAGTGGGAAGGTCACTATATGCAACTGTTAGCTCCTCTCATACGTTCTGTTTTACTGCTGTTATTATCATGATATGCAGTAAAACGGTGGTGCTGTGGGAAAGCCAAAGAGCTAAGATATCGATTCAGCTCCATCATTATTTCTTTTCCTTCTATTACATTTCTTCAGAATTCATCTTTCTTTGCAAAACATATAAACTAGACCAGATAGGATTCACCTCACCTTTACCCTGCTTGTTTGTAGATAATTTTTAAATGACTAGAAAAGCAAAGAAAGATATTGTAAAGGAAATATCAAGATTGAAAACATCGAAGTGTCTGTGCTAATATGTGACAAATATAGTTCACTATAGGTAAATGCAAAATAATGAGCTTTCCAGTAAAGAACTTAACATTGGAAACATCTGTCTAATGGAAAGGTGCTGTGGCATTCTAATTAGAAACACATTTGAGAAGTTGCTACAAAATTGTATCCATTTAGCCTTTAGACGATGCAGAATTGCAGAGAAAGAGGGAGTTAAATTACTAAAAACAAAGTATTGTAAATCAAAGGTAGAATTATGCAAACAAAGTATGCACTTGCTCTTAGAAAATACAAAGCGTGGGTCACTTTGTTTTTAAATCAAGATATCAAAATTACTGGAAATGGGCCACTTGATGGGTCCAAACTGACTAGAAATTTCAAAACAAGTTATACGAAATTGGGAGATACACTAATTTATAGAAATAGTAAAGTAAGTCCATTGGAAACAAATGAAAAGTAAAGAGACTCAATGTTACAGTATTGGGAAAAGGGGAAAAAAGTGTAAAACTTCACAAAGTTACATAAATGTGAATGTGTTTTAAAAATTCCTTGAAGCAAGATAATCAGTAAAATAAGAATACAGTTAAATACTATCCAAGCCAGGATTACAGAATCCTGAATGGAACAAATCAGAGTGTAGCACGAAATTCAATGGATCCAAATTAACTATTAGTTTTTCAGCTTTTGAAATGACACTGATATATTTTCAGTTAATCCATAGATAAGGTGAGCTGCTTTGCTAACCCCAAGACTACCAGTTGTATGAATAAGGATTTATTGAGAAAATCCTTAGCCATAGTACAAATGCACTACCCCAAGTATAGGATTGAAATATTGCAAATTTTACTTAATTTGCATCTAAATAATTAAAGTATGAGTTTTGTAAGACTTGTGTCTCAAAGGGAAAATGCTAGATATCCTAATATATGATCAGAAATATTGAGCAATTTTTTTTTATTCACAAAAAAGTGAAAGCTTCCCTAGCTAAAATGTAGGTCATAAGAGTTCCATTGTTGTGTCAGGTCCTATCTTTTCTATTTTCAGAAAAAGTATGAGTAAATTAATGAATTTATTTAAAGGAAAAAACACAAATCTTCATCAAAAAATTAAAATTTCTTATTTCATGAATTATGTTTGTAATTTCCTGAGATCTCATTGGAATTCTTGTTCTATCCATTAGTCTTCACATATAGATAAAGATATTTCATATTTATCATAGCTACAGAACATTTCTAACTACTTAGCAGATGGTTAAAATTCAGCTTTCCCAAAACACTTTTACAATTTTAATACATATTTTCTTTGCTGTCGTTACTGATTTTTAGTTAAATGTCCATTATGTTTGCTGCCATTGATTACCACAATACAATAGTATGGACATTAACAAGCAGCCCCCAAACATATACCTAGCCATATTGTTTGAAAAACAAGAGCCACAAAGTCTGGATATTTGAATGAAAAGACAGGACTTCTATTCAATTTTATTTAAATTGATTTAGTGGTTATTTTTCCAGTGTCTATTTTGTACAAGGCAGTTTGATTTCTAAAACATGCCCCTAAAAGTCCACAAAATGGATAATCCCAACTTAGATCATCAAATGTGGGGCAGCTTTCATGTCCTTTGCTATGGGGGTTATCATGGCTTCCCAGTCTAATAAACATTTCTTCAGAGGTGCATCAGGGGCTTTTTATCTGGCTCACATGTCTGCGGGGTTAGTGCTGTTGGTGCTGAGAAAATGCCAGCGACATGGGTAACCTACAAAAATTGATCTTGATACCATAGTATAGGCCTGAAAAAGCTCCCAGTACTTGCACCCCACTTTTTCCATTTGCCCTTTAGAATCTGCGTGTTCGGAGTGTGGGCTGGAGATGAAGGCTAGGTGAATGAGAGGAGCATTTACAGAGCATCTCCCTCTGCTTTTCAGACTGAATCCTGAAACAGCTGCTCAATGCTCTTTTATGTTTATTATCTCTCTGAACTCCTTAATCCTCCCAACATCTCTATGAGGCAGGCTGTACTATTATCCTCAATGTACAAATGGGTGAAGTTTGAGAAAATGAATCATCTGTCCCTGCAAAGCTGTGCTTATCTCCTCATAGGAGCAGGGCCACCTGGTATGTGGTTCAGTCTCAGGGGTGGGCCAGCCAGTGCCGTGGGGAAGAAGAAGAAATAGGAAAACTTGATCTATGTCTTGCTGAAAGGAAATACTGGCAGACAACTTCACTACAGAGTTATCTTTTTCTCCTACAAAAATATAACCTTGACTAACTCATAGCCCCTCTCTAACTTTGGACATAGAGACAGTATGAGAACTCTCACTGATTTTTCTCCTGACATTTTTCTAAGTCCTCTCTACAAAGGGAATACTGTATTCACTATCTAAATCTCCAAACAACAACCTAGGTGTTGGTAAATTTAATCTAGTCAAGTATTTGTCTTTTCTAAGAAATTATCCCAATTTCTGTGTTTGGCACTGCCCATTTTTGTTTTTTTGTTGTTGGTGTTGTTGTTTTTGTTTTTTTGTTTTTGTTTTTGTTGTTTTTCCATTCATTTGGCAGATGTTTACCCAGCACCTACCGTGCTTCCTACATTATTTCTCACATCAAGGATCTAAAAAAAAGAAAGGCTTCCTGCACTTACGACATTGATTTTCTATGAAATGAAATAAGTAATAAATATGGTGCAATAAGGTAAACTGCATGATCAAGATAACTACAAGATATCCATGACAATGTGAAGAAATGAAACTAAAACAGAAAAAGGTCAGAGAAATACTTTCAGGAATTTTGAAGGGTGAGGAAGGAGAATTGGTAAAAGAACAAAGCTGCGGGTAAGTTCCTGGGATGTTATTATGACTAGTGAACATTTATAGAATCCCGAGAGAAGATGAAAGTAGAGAGGAAGACAGGAGCCCTGATATGAAATATGAATTTTATCCTGAGGGCAGTGGAGAGCCATTGAAGGATTTAAAAGGGGAGATACATTTGATACAGATCGTTCTGACAGCAATGTGAAGAATGAGTTGGAAGAAGGAGATCTCATACATTAAGGAGTAACTGACACAACTATGATAGACTTAGAAACGTAAAGTCACTACCATTGAACATGAAAATTATTTGTAAGCTAGAAAAAGTGATTCTTCTGCCCTTTTAAGAACTATGCAAACCAATGTTGATAAATGAGTTATATATTTCAGTCATATCTGGTCATACTTAATGTCATATGTTTTCTGCAGGTCAAATGTTGCTTCAAAGTTTGAATACACTCTGGTTTCTCAATCTCCTTGTATTTAACTCTTAATGGTATTTATATGTTTACCAAGAAGTATATGTTGTCTTTGAAAAACCACCTGACTTGTAAGTAGAGGCAAAACCCAGCAACTCATATAAAGGGAGAAATCTGACAGGAATGTCATTATATACCTTGCACATATTCAGCCAGCTACCGGATCTTATTTGCATATTGTTGTACATATTTTTAAAAAATCTAAGCCAAGCATGATGGCTCACACCTGTAGTCCCAGCTATGTAGGACACTGAAGCAGAAGGATCACTTGAACCCAGTAGTTCAAGGCTGAAGTTAGCTATGATCCTGCCACTGCACTCCAGCCTGAGTGACAAAGCGAGACTCCTTCTCTTAAAAAAGAAAACCTAGTGGTCATAGAATTCGAGCAAAATTTTATATGAAAGAAAATGTGTTCCAGACTGTAATGAAGTCTAGACACTATGTAAAGTATTTTGTTCTCTAGGTTAAAATTTGTCATTTATAAATGGAAATATAGATTCTATACACGGTCTGATTTTTGAACTCAAGTTAATTAGGGCAATGTCTGACATAATATGTTAT